AGGACAACAGAAACAAATCAATTATTCTATAAAAAAAAGAAAATGGGTAGGAAAAAAAATAAAGAGGTGTGTGACTACACAATGGAAGACTAGTCGTTAAGTGCCAGAAGCGCAAGTGAAACCTGATGGAATCGTGACAGCTTCAGAATTCGAAAGTTAAGTAGCTCCAAAGCGTCCACAAGGATTTGTAAAGATAAACATATAACGATGTTAGACAGAGACCGAATGACGTTGAAGGCCTCAAGAGGAGTACAAAAATGATCGTAAGTAGAGACTAAAGCTAGTAGGCAGGCAGGTCCGACAACTGGCCAGTGGGCATGGCAGCAGATAGGAATGGACCCTCACCGACACATCACCGACAAACCTTAAGAACCCGGGGCCTCAAACCGTGACGAAAAGAGCGGAAAGAAGGGGGATTTAGGGTTGAAAAAGTCAAGACTAAATCAAAACTCTCCGCTGGGTAAAACAGGTGAAGAGAAATCCCCAAACAAGTGGAAAAGTGGAAGAGAGGGCAGCGGCCAGAAAAGGGGGCCAGGCAGAACGGAGAGGGAATGATGCGCCCCAACATCCCCTTGGCCGAGCATAATTACACACGACAGTACCTCGGGCTGGGGTACCGGCCGCGCGTTGGATGTACTAACCCACGTCTTCCACCAGGAGGCCGCCGCCACCCTTCCCCGCCCCCCACCCAAAATAATGAAAACAGGTACCTAAGAGATGCGAGGCGGGCTACCTTCAGCCGGCCGTGACCTTCTCGGGCAGCCCTGAATCTCGCCCCCTACTGAGAGCCTCCTGCCCAACCGCAGTCGCGCGGACCCTCCGAGCAGGGGTGCGGGCCGGGGAAAGCCCCCGGGCCACGGTGTGTGCTCACGCAGCGCGGAGCGGCGTGACGGGGAGGGAGGAGAGGGGACGCCCATCTCCCACCGTGCGGAGCCCGCAGGAGAAGGCGGCTGAGGGCACTCGGGCCCCCACCGCCGCCTCTTTCGCCCAAACACCAGCCAGCCACGCGCGGAGAAGCGAGGCGGGCAGGGTGCGCCGGGACTCACCTCCTCGGGAATGGCAGGGTCCGCGCCCGAAGAGGCCGCGGCGCCGGCGCCGGCCTCGGGCTCCATGTCCCCGTTGAACAGAGCCTGGCCCTGCTCCGCGCCGCCGCCGCCGCCGCCGCCGCCGCTCAGCGCCGCCATCTTATAACCGAGAGCCGGGGCCCGAGCGACCGCTGCGGGGCGGGGAGGGGGAAGGGAGGCGGAGGGCGGGCGGAGGCGGGGGCGGAGGGGCAGCTCGGCCCGGGCGGCGCCGGCGGCGGGAGGGCGCCTGGGCCGCCTCAGGAGCCGGCCCGCGGCCCCGAGCGCAGACGAGCCTGAGGGGACTGGGGGAAGGACGCCACGGCGGGGTGGGGGCGAGGGGGCGGAGACGACAAGAAGTCGCCGCGGCAACGGCGTACCCGCGTGTCATGGTCGTGACGTCACCCGTGGTGCGTGACGTAATCCTAGGAGCGCCTTCGCGCCGTAGTCAAGGGCGGGTTCTTTCCCTCCTGCCCAGCCTCACGCTCGACGGTTTCCTCCGCTCCGCGGTTACCATGACTCCGGTTTCCTACCTTTTTCTCTTCTGCGCCCTAAACCTCTTCTGAAATGTGCGACTTACTGGAAAGAGCAGGGGTGGCGTTCGAGAGGTTGAAATCCTGGAGGGAGAGAGAGGGGGAAGCCCGTACTACTTGTGTTATTTCCATTACAACGAATGTCTCTCTGTCATAAAATAAGACTTGAAAACGTCCAAGCAGAATGTGATGAAAATGTGTTTAGTAACAGCTAGATTTGTTAGTAACAGCTACGAATGATGCTTGTATCCTTTTCATGAAAGGATTTGGCCTGTTAAAGTGGATCTAACTGGAAATCTAAAAGCTTTACTTTTTCATAGTTCAGGAATAAAACTTTTAGTGTTTTCCGTTTTCCAGATTCATTCATTTAACAAATAACGGTAGAGCCCTTAACGTGTGCTAAGGCCTACACAAGGCACATTGCATTATAGACAGCTGAAGCATCAAAACTTGAATCATTTTTATTTTCAAGAAAACCAGTCAAAATATTTCAAATGCTTTTCTGCCTTTCACAAACAATATTTCTAGGCATTCTCTGAAATGTTCATGAAAACAATTGAGAGAGTAAATTCCCTTTGAGAGGCCCAATTACAGATTGGAATTAAAGAAACCCAATTCATTATTAAAAATTCATTTGCTGAAAAGGAAAGGAGAATATTTGGGGGGGAAATAAGGGAGAAATAGGAGAAACATAATGCAATTTATTGTGGGCACCTAATGGTGTGCAGTTAATCACCAACGTGACCTAATCATCAAGTCATGAGAACCTTTGAGTGGACCCCGCATTTTTGTACTTCTCGTGAAGGCAGACTCCCCAGTGACCTCCTTGCTGTATTCACCATGATTCAAGAGATAGAAAGCTGTCCTACCGACTTCTGAAGCAGGGTGTCTGCGTATTGATAGAGTCACCAGGAGCAGAGGGCTGATCCTTATTCTCAAGGTAAGGAATTACATGTGAGGCTACCCAATTAATCAGATTACTAATATTCCTCTACATTGAAAAATATATGACCTATCGAGGGAACGAACATGATATGCTTTGTTAGCTTCATTGTACCTTCTCTTCCAAGTAGGAAAATCTCCCTAAGGAACTAAGTTAAATCAGTAGGGAGAGTGGCAAAAGTAGAGTAAATGAAGTTTCATAAAGGATAATGTCATCAAGTATATTAGTCTATATTATATAGTATACGTCTTTAAAGGATTCTTCTGTGGTAGACTTCTACAGTATACTGTATATACTTCTTTACTATAAGAACATACTTCTAAGCAGACTAAAATAGCACCATTAGCCAGTCATGGCACCTTATCCCCTTGATTTCATCGGAAACACAACAGTGTTTTTTATTCTCTAACAATCCTATTTCATTTTTTAAAGATCAACCTCTAAAAATATTCTATCATTATAACATTTCCTCATAACAGTTAATGTCCTAAGATTTTTTTCCATTGGTTCCATTTTAAATTATAGCCTTCTTTATCAGCAACAATCTGTAAATTATATTTTACATAGTTATTTCCCCACAGGATGGCTGATCTCATCCTTTTAAATATTGATTCTTGTTTGCTTACAGTCATTCAACATTTTCTGAGCTTGTCTTCAAATTCTGGATATCTCTTATTTGATTTCCTGAGAACTTTTAAAGTCCCACAGGCTCCAGATGGTGAAAATACAGAGAAACCCTCAACTTTGGAGTCCAAAGACCAGGATTTTAATGTCAGCTTGCCACATCTTGGCTCTATAATCTCAAAGCAGGTAAGCTCAAATCCCTGTTTGTTTTTGTTTTAATCTATAAAATGAGAGTGGTGATAATGCTAACCATCTACCTAATTATCATTGTGAGGATCAACATTACAAAATATACTTACCCTCTCAAACAGAATTCTAACAAGGCATAGCAGAGATGGCTTATCTGTGCTTCATGATTTCCGTGACCTCAGCTGAGAATACTCAGTGCCTGGAGATGTCTCACTGGGTTGGGTCCGGAATCATCTGGAGGCATATTTCATCATAGGTCTCATGGCTGGAGCAGGGACCTCAGCTGGGGCAGTCAACTATAATACCTAAACATACTTTCCTCATGTAGCCTGAGCCTCCTCATAGCATGGAATCGTCGGAGTAGTCAGACTTCTTACAATGTGGTAGAGGGCTCCAAATACTAGTGCTCCCGTAAGCAAGTTGAAAACTGTACTGCATTTTATGACTTAGCCTCTGAAGTCACACAGCACCACTTGTTTATTTTCCTGGATATGGGTAAGTCACTAAGACATGTTTAATTTACAGACAGTTTGTGTTTAGAATAATGAATAATGAATAATTTCCCTTTTATTACTGGGAATCACCAAGACATTATCTCAGTATGCTAATGAAAAAGCCCTTACCTTCTTTCTCTAGCTTCTGAGGCTCTCACCACATGTAAAAACAAAAGCAGGTCCTTGACTGTTGGACACAGCCTAACTGTCTCCTCTTGGGTCTTGCCCCCAAATCCCAATGCTGCCACAGAGAGTGTTAATGTGCTGAAACCCTCCACACAAAACAGTGGCACTGGAGCCGGTAATAAGCGAAGCCAGTGTGTGTTCTGAACAGAAGCAGAAACACCTCCCTTTTGTGTTATGGTGTGTTATACGGGCATCAAAGCAAGATTATCTTGCATTCTAAAGTCTTACAGATGTTTTAGTCAACGTGGTTGTCTGGGTGTTGCTGCAATCCCCCTACCCCCTAAGGCATTCATGTATTCACAGGAAACCAGAAAGCAAATCTAGGTAAGATGTGCTACTCAGAACATGGCTCCAGGTGATGACTGAGACATTCTTAAGAAACCTTGCTGATGTGTCTGACCCTCTCTTCCCTGAGGTGAGTTTATTTCCAACTGACAATTATATCTTGAATTCTGCATTCTAATAGACACTAGATTGCTCTGTCCATCAGCCAGACCTGCCCAGGCCAAATCTGATCCCACATTAATGTGGTCAACTACTGGAAAACCAGTGAACAGCCTCTAGGAAGCTTCTACAGCTCCACACGCATTCAATGATGAATAGCTGATCACAGTTTAGTATTTTCTTTATGAATCAAGGTCATCATTAACAAATAACACACCCTATCTTATTTTATAAAAGGCTACTCTCAGAAGCTTATCTAGGTGTGAATAGAAAATAGAATCATAGAGTTAATTCAGCACAACCTTCTCATTCAGAGATACTTAGAATCTCCTCTATTGGTTCCAGAATCTATCTAAATATTTTAGTGATGGGGACCTCACTAATACAGTACATTTAATTATACCTTTTTTTCTGAAGTCGAATTGAAACCCTCCACTTTATGACATCCATATTCTGGGCTGAGTTTTGCCTTCTAGAGGAACACAGGACAAGTCCGTTGTTCTATATAACTGCTTTCAAGTATTTAAGGGAGTTCTGTTTACTTTAGTTCTTTCCTCAAAACATTTTCTCTTCTTTCTGTGTACTCTCTGCAGTGTTTCTCTTGAAATGTGGCCCCACAGAACAGGGTAGAGGATATAGGGTGGGAGTGAGACTTCTGCAAGTGTACTGTTTAACATAGTTTTACTTTATGAAACACATAAATAAATGAAAAAAAATCTAACCAAATGAACCTAATTGCATGTCAAGTTGGATAACGTAAGTCCACAGAGAAAACGATTAACTCAAGCAGCTTTTGAATATATAGTTTTCTGACTGTAGACTATGATGGATTTGCACTGTTAAATTAGCTAACCTGGAACTGTTTCCCAGAATCCTCTTCCATCATGTAAGACCTACTCACCACTCCTTAAATATATCCTCTGAGAGAGTCCAGAGCAAACTCTCCTCACCAAGGTTGCAAGAAATGCATTTGTGAAATACACTTATAAATAATTTATAAGTACAAATAGTAAGAAGTGTATCCCTTAGAGCTCTCTGCTGGCTCTCCTCTATAAGCCAGAAATGACGACAACTGCTCCTATGTCTATGGGATGCATGTTTAACTGTGGTGAAGGGCACCCACTTCTCCCCCTGGGTCCCCATCACTGGCATTGTGATGAGAGCCCAAGGTAAGGACAGTCTTACTTGTATTGCACTCCCTCCTTATGGGTTCCAGCTTAGCCTCACAGATTTCATATTTTCCTCGCTTCACCCATTTCACCTCTATCTTTCCTTCCTTTCTTCCCAGAGGATTGTAGGTTCCAGCAGCAGACCTAGAAACACTGGCCTCACATGGACTGTTTAACCAGCTCCACATTTGCATAAGACCAACTCCCTATAATAAAATACTCACTGTTTACGTACGAAACGGGAATTTGAAGAAGAACTCTGTGGTGCTGGACTTGAATTGGAAGTAGCTGTGTTAATATAGGATTTAGGAGAAAATAACGTCAATTTTCACAGACACACACAGTATATGATTTTTAAAAGAATATATGCTAGTTAATATACAGAAGGAATGATTGAATTAGAAAAACATATACTATGTAAGTATACACTTAAAATATATACTTAAAAGTACTTATATAATCTATATGTATATGCACTGATAGAGTATATGTGTGTGTGTGTGTGTATATATATATACGCACATATATACACTATATATAGGAATAGATATGGATATAGATATAGATTAATATATTGTTAGGTCTGCCCAGTGAAAGAGGTGCCTAGGATAGTAATAAGTATACCTGGTGACTGACTCTTGATTTTGAAATGCCATTCTTCACTATTAGTAATGAAGGCTCCCTTGAGAAATGGCTGAGTCCAGATCTGGGGCAGGAAATGTATAAATTGAGCTAGCATAGGATGCACCTTGGTGTACTCCAGAGCAAATACATAATAGAATTAGAAAAATCACCATTTTGCAGCTGCCAATGTATCATTTACTCCAAGTCAAGATCATTAATACTTGCTAAAACTATTTTTTTTATTTTGGTTTCATTAATCTACGATTACATGAATAATATTATGTTTACTAGACTCCCCCCATCATCAGCTCCCCCCAACATACTCCATTACAGTCACTGTCCATCAGTGTAGTAAGATGCTGTAGAATCACTACTTGTCTTCTCTGTGTTGTACAGCCCTCCCCATGCCCCCCTCCTACATTGTGTCTGCTAATCGTAATGCTCCTTTTTTTCCTCTTATCACTCCCTTCCCACCCATCCTCCCCAGTCCCTTTCCCTTTGGTAACTGTTAGTCCATTCTTGGGTTCTGTGAGTCTGCTGCTGTTTTGTTCCTTCAGTTTTTTTTCTTTGTTCTTATACTCCGCAGATGAGTGAATTTCATTTGATACTCGTATTTCCACCTGAGCATAATACCCTCTAGCTCCTTCCATGTTGTTGCAAATGATAGGATTTGTTTTCTTCTTATGGCTGAATAATATTCCATTGTGTATATGTACCATATCTTCTGTATCCATTCATCTACTGATGGACACTTGGGTTGCTTCCATTTCTTGGCTATTGTAAATAGTGCTGGGATAAACATGGGGTGCATATGTCTTTTTCAAACTGGGCTGCTGCATTCTTAGGGTAAATTCCTAGGAGTGGAATTCCTGGGTCAAATGGTATTTCTATTTTTAGTTTCTTGAAGAAGAACCCTGTGGTGCTGGACTTGAATTGGAAGTAGCTGTAGTAAAAAACTAGAGATAGATACTCCATACTGCTTTCCACAATGGTTGAACTAATTTACATTCCCACCAGCAGTGG